TAAAGCTGAGACACAATCACCTAAGTATAATGAATGTTTTTAGAACACCCACAATTTTCAGATCTACTACTTTTCTCGTTCCTTCTCTTAAAAGATTAGATGCTTGGGGATCCATGAGTAGTCTGGCAGCCCATCTGAAACAGGCAGAGGGCGGATGTGCTACATCCTATTCCACATGGGCTGCCAGACAACCAGTCCCTGGCAACTCGCCCTCCTGACAACTGGACTCTTGCTCTCTAGCATTTGAGATAGTTAGGAACAAAGATTGCAGTGCTGTCTATGTCTAATACCTAAGCACCATCTACAGCTGCTTCAGGCAGCATTAATATTCCTCAGACTGACACAAGTGTTGGGGAACTTCCATGCCTCAAGAAACAAATGTGGTCCTCTAATCAGGCTTCACCCTTTGGCACCTCTGTAAGCCCCTGTCTAGGACTTCGCCAGTTACAGCCTGGCTTTTGGCAGACTCAGACTTGAGGCCTTAGTGTCTTAGTCACTTTCTTGTCCCTAGGACAAAATAACCCACACAAAACTTAAAAGAAGAAAGGCTTATTTTGGTTCAAGGTTCAGTTCATAATCCACAAGCTTCAAGGCAGAAATGGCATAGCAGAGGGACAAGGGGGAGGAAAAGCTGCTCACATCATGGCAGCCAGAAAACAAGAGAGAAGGGAGGAACCTTGGGGAGAGATATGTCCTCAGCCAGGCTCTAATTCCTGATAATAATAAGCTGGGCATGTGGTCCACACCTGTAATCCTAACACTCAGGAGGCTGAGGCAAGAAGATGTCTGAGTTTGAGGCCAGCCTGAGCTGTATAGTGAGTTCAAAGCCATCCTGGACTACATAAAGAGACCCTGTCTCAAAGTAATTAATTGATTAAAAATTAAAAAAATAAAAAGGGCTAGGTGGGGTATAGCTCAGTGCAAAAGTCCTGGATATAATCCCCCAATACTGTAACCCACAAATCAGTAAAAGCTTCAAAGGGATTAACGTGCACCGTTTCACCTAGAAATTCTACTAGGAAAAATCAGCTGTGTACAAACACATTAAGCTGCACACCAATGTATAATACTGCAACTTAGAAGTAACAGGGATATCCACTGGCAGAAGACTGGCTGTCCCATATAACAGAATACTCTGCAGCCTCTAGAGCATGCCAGATAAATTCATTGGCTTGAGGCTCCAAAATTAAGTGGGTAGACAGTTTATATAAGCACATATGTAAATGTGAATGAAAGTGTTATTTTTGGATGATGAAATAATGGGTGATTTTTCTTTGAAAGATATACTTTACATTTTTTATATTGAAAAGTATTACTCTATAAAAGGGTATATAAAAGATCTCATCATGGTTCACCTTAGGATTTTTTTACTTTATAACAATACAAAAACAATGCATATTCACTAGAAACTACTTAGAATTTGGAAGTTTGATCCTTTTCTGGGCTAGTGATACTCAGTGCAATCTTCTCTGCTTCGCTAGATGGCAGCATTGAATCACAGCTCCCCCAATCAACCATACTGTAAAAAAGGGAAACAACCAATGCTGGATGGTATGCTGTGTTGCTAAGCTACCATGTTTGATAGGTTGGGTGTATTAAATGTATTTTCTTGTTGTTGTGTATTTTGGATTTTTTTTTGAGACAGGGTCTTGCCATATAGTTCAGGATGGCCTTGAGTTTACTATATAGCCCAGACTGGCCTCAAACTCAGGGCAATCCTCCTGCTTTATGCCCAGCTATTAAATGCATTTTCCAGCTGGGCGCGGTGGCGCACGCCTGTAATCCCAACACTGAGGCTGAGGCAGGAGGATCATTGCAAGTTCGAGACCAGCCTGGGCTACAAAGTGAGCTCAAGGCCAGCCTGAACTGCAAAGCAAGACCTTGTCTCAAAAAGACAATAAATGAATGAATGAATGAATGAATGCATTTTCCTTTTTTTTTTTTCCTGGTACCGGGAATTGAACTCACTACCTTGTGTTTGCCAGGTACTGTGCCACTGAGCTATATCCCAGATCGTGCATTTTCAACTTAATGATATTTCCAGTTTAAAATGAATATATCAGGACATAACCCCTCCATAAGTCAAGGAGCATTTGTATATTCAACCTGAAAACAAAAGCAGTAAAAGACTCATTTGTGTCTCAGCACAATAAATTATGATTTGTACTTATATTTCAAAGGCCTTTCTTGCTATATATGGAAAGACAATGGGTGAATGATACACAAGTCCACAAAATAAAGTGTTTATTGTAAACTCCAAAGAGTTTCTGAAAATAGTTTCTATCTTCACACCTAGGATGAAGCTGGAGGCAGATTCGTTGCTTTCTCTGGAGAAGGACAATCATTACGTAAAAAGGGAAGAAAGCCTTAAGTCCAAACTGTTGGCTGATTGGAAAATAAAGGAATCAATTGCAACATACTGGGTTTTAGTTACTGGGTCTGACATGGATGAGACCATCATCAAGAGAATGCTGTTACTTAAGGGTTTATTTAGTGTTACCTAAGAATTACCAAATTTGACCTGGACGTGGAGCAGCAGAACATGGTTGTGTGCTTGATTTTGGGAAGGAAAAAGCTATCTCTAATGTCCTGTAAGTGGCCACCTTCTACTTTATTCTTTCTGCTCGAGGACTTTCCTCCTGCTCCAGCAAAACAGAGTTCCTCAATTTCTAACAAACCAGTGGAGGTGATTGAATTCGTCTCATTCAAGGTGTTCTTTCTCTTCATTTTCCCTTTTCCCAGGTCATTTGCAAAGGCATTGTCTTTGGCTTAGAAAAAAAAAGGAGTTTAAATAGATATGTGCTTTATAAATAGTGCCTATCCCACTACTCTACTCTGGCTGCTATTTAAGTGTTTGAGAAAGGGTGTTTCTATTTTATTTTACATAGTAATTGTTTTCAGAAATACCTTTCCTCAAAAGGAAACCCTATCCAATTGAGATCACACTTTATTTTGATTTCATATGGAAATAACTGGCTCTTTATGAGCTTATTCTAGAATAAAACAACTCCATGATAAAGCCAAATGTAAATTTTAGAATGAATAAATGCTAAAGATGTGTCTCTGCTTCCCTACCCCCACTTTGCAATTTTCAATTTTAATTTATTAAATTTTCCAAGGTTCTGCTGGCTTGTCTTTTTGTCTTATTTATTTATTTATTCATTAATTAATTCATTCATTCATTTTCTGGGATTTAACCCAGGGCCTTGTGAGTCCTAAACATGCCTTCTACCACTAAGCTGCTCCCCAGCCCCAATGTTTTGATTAGTTTTAATTTAGCCTCAGGTCTTCACTTTCTCTGAGAGACTGTCTAGCCTATTAATCCAGTTATTTTAAATTTTTTTCTTTGAGAATAATTCTGAGTCAAGAATTTCAAGTAAAAACAGGCAATGATTAAAACATAGATCACCTCTAAATTTTTTAGATATTAATACATTGGTGGTTGGGTCACTGACCCGAAGTTAGAGGAAAACCTACTTGTAGGTGTGCCATATTCCATCACATGGTTACAAAACTCCTCCTCTGGGGCTTCTGGAAAATATAGGGACAAATGAACTCCCTGACCCCTAGAATAAGGATAGTCAGGCTCAGAAGGTCTCCCTGTGGACCGGAATTTGTCCCCTTGTGGACACAAGGCTCCCACTCTAGGCAGGGCTCCTCTTCAAAATTTAGGGAGGGTTTTCTTTCCAGATTGGCAGCCCAGGATCTGCCAACTTGTCCTTCATGAGGACCACCCATGAATTTCATGATGTTCAGGGCTAAGCAGCACAAATAGTCATCTCTGGTGATGGATGGGCTTTTGGAAGGAATGAAGCAGCATGATAAGGACCAGTCTCTCTGCTTAGTTTCGGTTTCACTAGCAGAGATAAAAGCCCTCCTTGGCAAGTAGGTAGCCTCTATTTGCAGCATCACATTGACTAAAAAATTGTCATTTTATATATAATGAAGTTGCTATAGGCTTGGGACCTTGGTTTTTCTCTTCCCTAAGCAACACCTGTGTATGCAGTGGAAGTCCTTTGCTGGAGGTGTACTCCTGGCCGGGACAGGAGTGGACCCTATTGTTGGGCATTCTGGTGTCAGTTAGGGCCTTCCAATGTCAGTGTGGTCACCTGGAGCATTCACCTTGGCTGTTAACTGCTGCACTTGTTATAGAATCCACTTAGTGTTTTCTCCAAACTTGGTGAGTGAGCCAGCTACTTCAACACTTACAAGACCCCTAATAAAAGTGCAGCTTTCTTTCCCACCTTCAGGGAGCCTAACTCACTGTCATTGCTAGAATAGTCCAGCAACTGCTTTGTAAGCACCCCCCGCCCCCGCAGATGATTTGATTTCCTTCGGAAAACCACTGGGTAAGTATTCTAATGTCCTTTCTGCAGCTACCTTTACTTCCATTGCCTCTGCTAGGAACACTTCTCAGCTTCCACTTCCAGCCTAGGTTTCTTGGGGAGCTCTCACACGCCCTAGCCCCACCCACCGGTCCCCAGCACACACATCACGCTCAGTCAAACCCGGTTATTTTGTGAGTTCACCTCTGCCCTGAGGAGACACTCAGGGGACACTACTGTAGCTATATACCTCCCAAGTTCACTGCCTTGAGTTGATCCTCAGTGTATGCTTACAACAGTGAACCAGGTCATTGAGATTTCAAAAGATAACAAAAGCTGCTGGAAAGAAGTGACCTGAGCCATAGGGTTTCACAGACAGCTAACCACGCAACTGCGCAGCCTAGGACGCCAGCCAGGCACCAGATAGATGGATGCTATCATAGTGTCGCTCCAGCCCAGATCCAAGCCTTCGGACCTTGGGAACTTGCTGTCCGGCCCTGCCTCGTCCCTCCCTGCCTGGCATCTCCTTTGGTTGTTACTGGCTGCTTTGTTCAGACCTATATTCTGTTTATTGGCTCTTCTTGAGGAAGTGAATGAGAATTTAGTTGCGATATCTAGGAGTTTGTTGGTTATTTTGTCTGTCACTCATACAGAGACAGCTTTCTTCAATTTTCATTGGCTGCTGGGGTAGGGGGGCGGGGATCGGCGGTATTCTTGACATGGCAGACAGTGGCAGCTGGCGGGTGAGTGTGGTTGGCACTAAGGTTGCACGGGCATCCAGGCAGACCAAGATTAACTGGTTCCTCCCCGGGGGTGGAGGTGGGACCGAACCGGGGAGGTGGAGCGCGGCGCCGGGCCCACTCAGACATCGTCTTTCGCCGCAGCCGCCGCGGCCCTGCGAGACCTACCGCGCCGAGTGGAAGCTCTGCCGCAGCGCCGGACACTTCCTGCACCACTACTACGTCCACGGCAAGCGGCCCGCTTGCGAGCAGTGGCTGCGCGACCTGGCCAGCTGCCGCGACTGGGAGGAGCGTCGTAGCGCCGAGGCCCAGGTGCGCCGCGAGGGAGGTTGGGGAAACGTAGGTGCACCGGTATCCTCCCCTTTTTGCGTCCTTTCTTTTGAGAAATACTCTAAATTAGTATATCCACGGGACTTTGAGACGACATTAAAAACAAAGAGGGAGGGCCGGGGATATAGCTCAGTGGCACAAGCGCCTGCCTGGCAAGTGCAAGGTCCTGAGTTCGATTCCCGGTACCAAAAAATAAAAAATAAAAACAAAGAGGGAAAGAGTAAGGAGAGAGATGTAGAGTGTTTTATGGAGAAACAGAGAGCCGACTTTCCAGTGCTGGGGTGTTCATTTCAGTTGGCTCTTACAGAATATGATATTGCTGGTCCTGAATGACTAGGAGACAGCCCTCATGCAGCCCCAGTGACACGACTGAGGAAAAGGCAAAAGGCCTAAGTCCCCGTTGTACAGAGAGAATGGGCTGTAGAGAGCAGGGAGTGAGGGTGGAGAAATACCAGTGTGACCTGTGAGTCTCGATGAAGAGTAAGTAGAGTCTAACATTTAGCCTAAAGTGTATTGGGAAACATACTTTGACTTATATCTTTAAAAGATCAGTTTGGCTACCAGGGTGTGGACAGTTTATTATAGAGGAGCAGAGAGACCAGTAAGAATGTGGTCCCTAAATTCAGCAGGTATTTATCATGCTCTTGGAGACACCAGAGTGATGAGAATGGAGCGCCTGCTCTCCTGCAACTCTAGTGTACAGCAATCTACTATAGAATGCTATGGTGCCTTGGAGCTGCTGTAGGAAAAGAGAAGAGGAGATGGGGAGAGAGACAATGGCAGGGGAGTGCCAGGAAACAAGAAAGGGGAACCAACAGGATCATCCCGGAGTGTCAGCATTGTTAAATGTATGTGAATATTCTGTTTTGCTTTATTTAAGACAGGGTCTCACGGTGAAGTTCAGGCTAGCTTTGGACTCACTACAGTATGTAGCCCAGGCTGGCCTCAAACTTACAGCAATCCTCCTGCAGTGTTGGTGGGATTGTCCAGTTTTCTGATTACCTCTATATCCAATGCATACCGTTTTGTTTTGTTTTTTTGTCTTTTTGAGACAGGGTCTCAATATGCAGCTCAGGCCAGCCTTGAGCTCACTTTGTAGCCCAGGCTGGTCTCAAACTCACAACAGTCCTGCCTCAGCCTCTCAAGTGCTGGGATTACAGGCGTGCACCACCATGCCCAGCCTTCCCAGTGCATATCTTTTGACCCTGAAGTTTTCTTTTGGAAGTTTACCTTACTTAAGTGATTGGATAACAGTACACAGATAAAAGTTGAAAATGTTCATTGTGTCACTGTTTATGACACTACAAAAAGTGAAAGCGATCTAAATTTCACTAAGCCTCCCAACTGCTGAGATTACAGGTGTGTACGGCAACATCTGGCTCCATTGCTTGCATTTATTTATTTTTCTTTTTTCGAGACAAGGTCTCACTAGTTCAGGCTGACCTGAATTCACCATGTACCCCAGACTGGAATGGAACTTGTCAAAGTCCTCCTGCCTCTGCTTTCCAAGTGCTGAGATTACAAACTTGATTCCTTTTTAAATAAAAACATTTTATTTAAAGCACTGGGGTTCCCGGTACCGGAGAAAAACCAAAAAAAAAAAAATAATAAATAAAGCGCTGGGGATGTAACTCAGTGATAGAATGCTTACAAAGCATGCAGAGGGGCCTAGTTTCCAACCCTAGCACCACAAAAGTTTATTTATTTTTTATTTTTATTAGTAGATGTTTACAGTACACATGATTACATTCATTGTAAGGAGTTAGTACATGTACACAACACTTCCTAATTCTTGTGGCCCCCTTCTCTTCTCCTCCCAAATTTTTATTTGAGCCAGACATGGTGGCACTTGTCTGTAACCCTAGCACTTAAGAAGCTGAAGCAGTTGGATCACCACAAGTTCATAAGACCAGCCTCAACTAAATAGCAAGACCCTTTCTCAAAAAACAAGCAAAACAAAGCAAAACAAACAAAAAGAGCTTAGACAAAGATAAATAGATAGGACTGGGGTATAGCTCAGTGATAGGACATTTACCTAGCATGCTTAAGGTCCTGAGTTTAAACTCCAGTACTGCCCAAAAAAAGAAAAAGAAAAAAGATAAGTAGACAATTGGTAGGCATGGCAGTGTGCCCTTGTAATTAAGTACAGCACTCTGGGAGGCTGAAGAAAGAGGATTAGGAGTTAGAGGCCAACCAGGGCAACTTTTCAAGACCCTATCTGAAAAATAAAAACAAAATCAAAAAACACTGAGGATGTAGCTCACAGTGAAGGTCCTGGGTTCTATCCCCAGTGCTGGGGAATAAAAAAATTTAATAAACAAATTAATTGCCAGGCATGGTGGCACACATGTATAATCCCAGCACTCAGGAGGCTGAGGTAGGAGCCATACACTGTGAGTTCCAGGCCAGCCTGGGCTACATAGTGAGTTCAAGGCAAGCCTGAACATATAGTGAGACCCTGTCTCAAAAAAAAAAAAAAATTATATGTGTAAAAAAAACCCACGTAACCACTGACCTACCAAGAGCCCACAGCCAAGGTCACCTTATTATACACTGTGTTGTGTCTGTCTTGAGGTCAGTGGCTGAGTTAAGGTGGTAGACTGAGGAGCACTTGTTATACACAGCCCCATTAGGGATGGTCTAGCCTCTTGTTTGTCCCCATAGCTGTTCATTCTTACTATTGTTACCCTTACTCGGCGCCCCAGCCTTACACATGGTAGTTAAGTTTGCTCCAGACTCACCAGGCCAGCTAAAGCCATCAGGTCATAAGGAAAAGATGTCTGGAAATTCCTGAAATTATCCTGATTTACACAGTAATTTTTCACACAACTTTGTGAGGAAAAAATGATTGGGTTTGTGTGCTAGTATGGAACAATCCTCAAGGTATATTAAGCAGAAGCAGCTGAACTGTGGAGCAGTATGTACCATACAGTCCTGTTGAGCCATCCGTGTTCTGCAAGGTGCTGAGGAAGAGGGCAGTACAGGGGGTGCTGGGGGCCCTGGGATCAAGCGGTGAGCCAGAAAGTAACGAGAGTTTCATTTGCACAGCAATCCCTGTGTGAGAGCGAGCGGGCACGTGTGCAAGCTGCACGGAAGCACACCCTGGTGTGGGCCCTGAGGCAGAGTCCCCCTGCAGACTGGCACCTCCCTCTACAAGAGAAGGACAAGTGACGAGCACCCCTGCCCTTGACCTGTGTGGCTTCCTCAAGTCTGCTGCAAGTGGGGCTATGACCATCCCAGTCTAGTGGGTCCCTGTAAGCTCCTGCCTGGCCTGAAACACAGAGCAGTACATCTCCAGCTGTACCTGCCCACCCCTTATCTGCATCAGGGCACCACTACAAGTCTCTGAGAGACAACTGAGCCTACTTCACAGCTTCCAGGAAACCAAGTGTTGTGGCAGGTACCTGTGAACAGCCAGGTCAGGCTGGCTCAGATCTCTCATAGTCCTGAGGGGTAACTCTGACCTGCATGAAAATGTGACTGGGTCAGAACGAGGTGGCAAAAGATCTGTGCTGCTGTGAACACCTCTTCCTGTCCTGGGGAAACAGGTCATCACATCCCAGGCTTGGTGACTACCATATATTGCCAGCCCCAGCATCCAAACAGGGAGTTCACACTCTGATCAGGTGCATTGCAGAGATAGATGGAGCATGCCAAGCAGACAGGCCTCACTGCCCCTCTGCCCCAGCACACTTCACCAAAGGTTTCCAACAAGGCCCTTAGAAACTCAGGGTTTTTTTGTTTTGGTATTTTTCTTTGGTTCTTTGAGACAGTGTCTAGCTGAATGGTCCAGGCCAGCCTGGAACTCAGTGCGTAGCCACATTGGTTTCAAACTCCTGCCTTAGCCTTCCAAATTCTGCAATCTCAAGCATGTGCCACCTTGCCTGGTGAGACTCCAGTTTTTAAGAAACATACAACCTAGCTGGGGATGGTTGTACATGACTATAATCACAACACTCTGGGAGGCTGAGGCAGGAGGATTACAAATTCAATTCCAGCCTGGACAAATTAGCAATTTAGTGAGACCCTGTCTCAAAATAAAAAATTTTTAAAAGGCTTGGGGATGTAGCTCAGTGTGGAGGTCTTGGGTTCATTCCCCTCAATACTGCAGAAAACAAAAAAACCAAACCAAAAAACACAGCTTTATAAGCTTTCATGGAGTCTTGGCTTAAGAAATCCAAGCCCAGAAAGAGATGGGGGGGAGGAGGGAAGGAAGGGAGGGGAAGAAGTAAAAAGAATTAAGATGAGTTATATACATGTTCACGATGTTACATGATGACTCTAATCACTATGCACTGCAAATATGTACTAATAAAATATTTTTAAAAATCCACGCCCAAAGGGCTAGGGGTATGGCTCAGTGGTAGAGAGTTTGCCTAGTATGTATAAGCCCATGGCTTCCATCCTCAGCAAAGAAAGAAAAAAAGAGCAAAAGAAAACCAAGCCTGAAGCACATGGGATTTAGGTCTCTTTCCCTCAGAATTTCCCCTGATTATGTATCAAAAACTATTTCACATGTTTGATTCCAAATAAAAGTTGAAAAATCCACATGTGTTAGACTTCATATCTAACAATGTCATGTTCAGACAGCATTAGATTTTTGTATTTATTCCCCTTAGGTGTCTTAAAAATATATGTGAACCACAAAGAACACTAGCTCTTGTAGAGGGCTCTATTACTAACAAGATGGCTAGCATGGCTGCATAGCAGGTATCAAATATGATGCTGAAGGCCAATCCTGCATGCTAACTACCTGCCTTGCCTGCTTTCTGGCCACAGGCAGTGGATTTGAGTATCTTTCAGTTTGTTCTTTGGGGCAAAATTATTGATCACTTGTCAGGCCTGGTGGCTCATACATGTAATCCCAGCACTCAGGAGGCTGAGGCAGGAGGATTGCTGTGAGTTCAAGGCTAGCCTAGGATACATAGTGCATTCAAAGCTAGCCTGAACTACATAGTGTGACCTTGTCTCAAAAAAAATAAAAAAATTGATCACTTCAGAGTAAGAATAAGATGTTCTCTCCAGCGTTGCTATGCATAAAGGGGGCTTATATGTTCATGGGATCTCAAGAGCAGGGGAGAGTATAAAAAAGAGTCAAGGTTTCTCCACCCAGAGGGGTCATCCTTCATGTGTCTAAGCTATGCAGTGAGTCTTCAGAATGCTGTGGTTGGTTAATAATGAGCATTTACAACCAGTGAGAAGAGAGAAGTCTGCTAAAGATCTACAAGAATTTTTCTTACTTGTAAAACATAGGAAAGAAACATCTGAATTTTGCAGTCTGGATATGATGCTTGGAGCTACAATAGCTACACTGGAGTCGCTGGGGTCGGGGTGGGACATGTAAGTAAAGGCTGGGGGAGCCAGCTCCAAACAGTCAACAAGAGGCTCTCTCCCCTATAGCCATGCCCTCTGTCACCTGCTGGCAGAGCTCTATGAAAGCTGCACACACAGCCAAGAAGTGCTTCTTGCTGTTTTCTATCTGAGCATTCAGGTCTTTCCTCTGCCAGTTACATTTTGCCTGCCTTTGCTGCAGAACAAGTTCCACATCACTAGATGATCTCTCTGGATGGAATGTTCCTATATCCCTCGTGTGTTCACTCCCAGGGCCTCACATATAACTAGACTCTACCACTAACCTACATTGCCAGCCAATGTCAGTCTTAAACTGATAATTTGCTTTCAAAGAGTCTCTGTTGCAGTTTAGGGGAACAACAAACATTAAACAACAAATACAAGTGAGGCTGGGGATGCAGCTCAGTGGTGGAACACTTGCCTAGTGTATACAAGGAAGGTCTTGTGTTCAGTCATCAGTGCTGAAAGAAAGGAAAGAAAGAAGAGAAAGGAAAGGAAGTAAGTCTGCTCAGACTGCCACAATAACATATCAAACTGGGTGGCTTAAACACCAGAAATTTATGTAAGCCTGGCTTATTTCTAGAATTCCTTCTAAGGCCTCTGCCTGGTTTGCAGATAGCTGCCTTCTCCCTGTCTTCATACAGTTCTCCTCAGTCTAATAATCTCTTATTAGGGTACCCATCATACTCACATAGGTTCCACCCTAATGACTGTACTTTAACTTCCTCTTTAAGGACTATACTTCTAATACATTCATATTCTGAGGTACTGGGGATTAAGCACTTCAACACAGGAAGTTTGGTTGGGACAGCGCTACCCATAACAGTAAAGGTTCAGTGTAAAAACAGTGCCTACTTCTTACTAGCTTACAGTATTACAACCTGAGACAAATTTTGATTTCTGAACTATTACTGCAAATGAGAAATGGGAACATTTAAATAAGAAGTTAGATTATTAGGGGCTTGGGTTAATTCATGGGTAGAGTTATACCCCATACTCTGCCTAGCATGCATGAGGCCCTGGGTTCAAACCCCACCACCATCACCCAGTCTGTGATACTTTGTTATGGCAGCCTGAGCAGACTAATACACTGATTACTGCAGACTAACACAAGTAATAAACACTGTGAGCCCTCTGCTTCAGCCAGGCCTCAACCTTCTGTGTCCCTGGCTTGCTCTGCCATCTAAAGCTTTCCTGCCCAGGTTAAACCCCAAAGATGTCTCCTTCCTCTGTCCTCCTGGGAAAGCCCCATTTTTCTTAGCACACTTTCCCAGATCACGAAAATCCTGCCCATTCTTCACTTGCACTCCTTTGGGTTATTTTATGCCTCCTGTAAGTGGAAATTTTCCTTTTTGCCAGTATCTGTTACCCCTGGAGGGTAGGAATTGATGTCTTTGTCACCCACTTTCCAGTATTTGGCAGAGGGACACCACTTCTCACTCCCGTCCATCCATACATGACTTACTTTTGATTATAACACAAGACAAAGACACTTTTGATTAAACTTTGATTTATTACCAGCTTGTCTGATCTTTCGGACAGCAAACTTCAGCTCTGGCCATTCTGACTCCTGGAGGGGATTATGTTCTGAGGACCCCTGACTTCACTTCTATCTCTTGAATTCTACCTGTGTGTACACCTTGGTGATGTCATTGTACCTGCCTTCAGGGGGCTGGTAGTCAGAGACTGGTGGTGTGTAATGTGGCCCTTCCTTCTCAAAGGGGAACAATCTGGGGTCCCGCTTGATGGCCTCAGTGTAGAGCTCTGGGGATTCGAGTTTCAGCTCCTGCAAAGCTTTCTGCTGGGCCTCCAGCATGGCCCTGATGGCACCCCTCTCCATCTCATGCTCTTGCTGCTTGTGCAGGGCCCACTTCTTCAGAAGCAGAGCTCTCCGCTCACTCTCCTCAAAGGGGAGCTCCACCTGAGGTCGCTGTCTGTGAATACAAAGTCCAAAGATGTAAGGTTGGGGAATATTAACCTCATTGGCAAGGGATCCTGTGTGACTGCACATGACCCAATCATCCCCATTTTCTGCCACTGCAGGATTTAGGAAAGAAATGTGCAAGTTTGGGAGAAATTAAGGAATGGAATGTTGAATGTGGCAGCAGCTGCAACTCACACTGGGAGCTAAGGTCATATGCTTATCAAGTAGAAAAGGTCTCAGACCAGAACCAAGTCAACTCCAGTCTGCTAACGTATTTGCATCACAGGCATGAACTTCACCTAGAACTACCTGAAACTGAGGGAACTTTGCCCTATGGATTTCAAGCCTAGAGGAGAATCTTTACCTTGATTTATCCAAGAACTTCAGAGGGGTAATAAAATCTTCAATGGGAATTAGCTCTTGGCTAGCCTTCTCCAGTTTTCGTATCCTCTTTTTCAAGCGGTCCCTTGCTGCTTGATCTTTTTTAGGATCTACCTTCTTCTTCTTTCGCAGAGGTTCTGCTCTAATGGATAAAAAGCAAACAAATGTCATTTTCAATCTCATGAGACACATGATGCATGAGCTCTCCACTGGGTGAAGGAGTTGTGCTTGGCCCTGACCCCATCCACTCGGTGCACAGGGAGGCAGGTTCCACCCTAGTGTCCTTTTGAGAACTGCGTGGGCACTATCAACTCACACAGTAGGGTGTCAGGTATAAATAAACTAAGGGAAAGTATTCACCTTTAGTGTTAGGATTCAGGTGTGCATTGGGACTGTACTGAAAAGTGAAAACACCAAAATGATAGCAGCACATTAGTCACATTTTAAATGGATTTTTGATTTATGAAAATATTTTTTAAGACTAAAAAAGACAATATTGTAAAAGTGACTGGCATGTCAGGATTTCTTAACAAACTCTCCATCTTAGAGCTTTGGCAAAAACCAAAGGTTTACTCTTAGGAACACATCTCTCAGTTAAAATTTACTGTCAAGATAACCAAATCCATTAGCATTAAAATTGAATCAAGTCCCAGAGAGAGTCCCAGGTGGAAATTCTATTAGTCCTAGAAAGACCCTCCTTCCCCAAAAGAGGAAGAGGAAGGCTCATAGAGAAACAGAAGGTGTGCCCTTTAAAACACATAAGACTTCCTTCAAAGGTAATTGAGAGAATACTGAAAAGACAGAAAAGCATCTCTCTAAATTTAATTAGTAAAAGTTTTGTAGGCTGTGGATTTTGTAAACCAAATGTCAAACACTTTTGCTTTGTCCTTGTCACATGCACACTTGTGCTCACACCCCTGGAGAGGTCACAGCATTCGGTTGTGTTCACACTCTCAAGAGGTCACAGCCTTGAGTTTTACCTCATGGGAATGAGTTCCCAGAAGGCCAACAATGAAGCTCGCTGGTGAGTATCTCTGATTTGTGTCCACCAAGTTCCAGGAAGCCTGAAAGAGGGAATTGTATCTGTCAATATTTGATTCTCACTTCACAGGAGGGAAAAAAAAAAGCACAAACTGTACCCAATACATGTGGGGGTATATTTCAGTATTGGATATGACACCAAGGACAATGAGATTTTTCAAAAATCTCCATTTACAACACAGCACTTGGATCGGGGCCCTTGCACAACTGGGTCCTAGAATTTTCATCCACAACAGACATGATCAGCTGTGATGTCCGTGGAAAGAGACAGTAGAGAAGGATCGCAGAAAAGTCCCGGCCGGAATCGGCATGTGCCTTGGGCAATCCGTGACCTGGCCCGTGTCCGCACTCACCTACTTGACAGACGCAGAGCCCGTGCAGCACATCTCAGCGCAGCAGCGGCCATGGCCTCTCCTGCCACCCGTGGGCAGCTTCCGGGAGCGCGCTTCTCTGCAATCCGGCACACCAAGTAGAGGACGACGAAACCAGACGAGCGCAGCCACACACTCCAGCGTTACTGCGGGTGGTAGGGGTTAGTCTGGCTCCGCCTCCAACGCAGCCCCGCCCCGGGCGTCCCCGAGCGCCACGCGCTACGAGCGCCTCTCACCTCGGGAGTCTCCTCCCTTCCGCCTACTTGGGCGCTGTGAGCCCGCCCCTACGGCAGGCACAGCAAAGGTAGCTGTTGCCTAGATGTTTGCCCTTCTTCTCTTCCAAGGCCTGACACCCCCGCGGTGTAGCCGGAGTGGCCAATGGGTCGTCTGTCTGCTTCATCGGGCCCACGTGTCTGAAAACGGGGCCTGAGCTTTTACTAATGGTTCCCGCCTCGGTCTCCCCTGCTACCCTTCCCGGG